AATTTGGTATTCCCTCTCGGTCTCAATCAAGATCCTCTTCTCTAGTCTCGGATCCAAAGTTGGTATTCCCTCCAAGTTCCTTTACGAGTCTTGATTGAATAAAACAAAACCATGCAAACTTTAATCGAGCATGAAAAAAGGGAAAAATGACACAAAAGAGATAGAAAAAGCTAGTATACAAAACTAAAATGTAATTTTTTTATAAAACTCAGCTCTTCAATTTCGATGCATTAGAACCATCGCAACTTATAGCTTTCTCTTCCGCCTAAACACACCACAAGTCAACCTTTTAACAATCAACACTAAGGGAAAAAAAAAGAAATAGATGAAAGGAATAATAGATTTTTGCATTATTTGTTAGTTTCTTTTACCAAGAAAAGCTTGTTAGTAGTTTTGCCTATAGCAGAAAGGACAATAATAGGCCTTTCTTCGGGAAACCGAGAATCAAATCAGCAATTTCTCTCATTCTTAATTTAGCATACTTACCATTAGAGAAGGACAAAGTCGAGGAGAATAACAAAGAAGCAAAGAACAAGAACCACGAAGTAGAGGAGTAATTATCGAATGTAAAATATATTACTTAATAGTTATTAATGACCCAAATGGTTGGTCCATCATCGGATCAAATTGAACTTCATAGAGTCAAGAAAACCGTTATGGTATCATCCACGACTCGGGGCACTACCAGGTGGGGGCACTTATAGTAGTGACATTACTAAAGGGTGTACAGATATTCGACACTATTATCAAGTCAACGACCACTAGACAATTGGACTAGCGAGTGCCACATCTACGTACACCACCATTATCGGTCGCACGATCAACATCGAGCCACAACCACTAACATTGCAACAATGTATGTCCAATCCATAAGACATGACTCAAGAATAGCACCTAAAATAGTTTAACTAATGAGAAACAATCTGAAAAAAATATATATATACTATAAATTATTATGAATCAAAACAAACAAAATTCAATTGTCCAAAATGCACAACAAATATAAAAAAAAATGCATAATAGACAAAAAAATATATAATTTAATGAATACAATAAATAAAACTGATCTCTAATTACAACTATCATAATGATCTTCTAAGATTTTCTCTCCTTTAGTTAATTCTAATACATTTTCTTAAACATCTAATAAAATTTTGGCGATCTTCCCCATAAATTGCACATTTCTCAATTAACAAATACTTCAAATGATGACACAACAAACAAATTAAATCAACCAAAAATCATTTTACCTAGCATAAATAAATTTTTAAATCAGACTTTAAAAAATTAACCTAATTAATTCAAATTCAAATTAAATTAATCCATTCTAATTCAAACAAAATTAATCGCTATATAATAATTAATTAACAATTTGTAATATAAATAAAATTTTAATTCAACAAATTAAAACATTTAACCTAATTAATTAATTCAATATAAATCTAACTAAATCATTCAATTTTGATTGTAATTAATTTCAATTAAAAATTAATTAAGAATTTCTAATATCAATTAACTTATAATTCAATTAATTAATGTAATTAACCAAATTAATTAATGAATTATACATATAATTAACTCAATTAATTCTAATTCTAACCAAAAACATTTAAATTAACAATTTGTAATGTAAAAAAAGTTTTAATTCAATAAATTAAACAAGCTAACAAAATTAATTAATTAAATATAAATCTAATTAACCTAATCGATTCTAATTCTAACCAAATTAAATTTAAATTAATAGTTAATTAATAATTTCTAATATAAATAAAATTGTAATTTAACTAATTAAACATAATTAACCTAATTAAATTTTAATTAACAATTAAATTAAGTTAATTAAGACTAATTAAACAATTAATTAGCAAAATTATAGTTAATTAACAAATTAAGTCTAATTCAACCAAATAAACATATAATTAACCTAATAAATTAATTAAATTTAAATATAATTAATTAAAACAATTTTGATATGGCTGAAATTACAATTATTTAACTAATTAAACTAACAATAAACCAAATTTAACAAATTATTCAACCAATTAACCTAACAATTAATAATAATTAACAATTTAACAAATAAATCGACAAAATAGCAATTAAATATATACACAATCATAAACTCAGTTACTAAACTTAAATTAACATAATAATTACAACGAATTACCAATTTTAATTAACAAAATAAAAGAGAGAAGAACATACCTAATTTTGATGGAATTACACCAAAAAGAGGGGAAAAAAGTTTTTTTTTCTTTTTTTAAGAAAAGACCTAGGACTTGGTGGTATTCGATTAAGAGTGGAGGAGTAAAGTTTGATGGTGTTTAGATGAGGGGAGAATGCCTACAGTCGATGGTTTTAGAGAGGGAAAAGAAAATGAGAAAGGTGGAAGAAGAAGAGGGTTAAATTAACGTTGGAACTTAGCAATGGACACGATCCCGTTGCTAATCCATGTCTAAATAGGTGCCTAAATTTGAATAACTCGGACGCTTATTTTTCCACATTTAACAACGAACTAAGTGTCCATCGCTAATCCATCTCAATTTGTCGGTATTTGTCATTAATCAATCGTAAAATTGATAGTTTTTTAATTTCAAAAACTCAACAAAAATATTTCCCATAAATCTCCCCTTTAGTGATGGATTTTACCATCGCTAAATCATGAGAGAATTGTAATTTATCCATCACTATCGTGTCCATCTCTACTTTTCCTAGCAAATTTGTCGCTAAGCCATCTCTAAAATATCCAAAAAGATTTTATCATCAAATTTACCGATAGATTTGTGTCGGTACCTAAAATGCGGCTTTTATACCATCTCTAATCCAAGCACTAAATTCAAAGTTGCTATTTTCTTTCTATATCCATCATTAAATTTTGTTGCTATCTAGCAACTTTCTAATAGTGGAATATTTGAAAACTCTTATGCTCCATTTTATGTTTAGACTTTGAGATTTTTTTATGTTTTTCTAGACTTACCGCTATCGATAGTAATATTGGTATTCCTTTTTTTAAATGTTTTGTTTAAATAATTTGATTTTTTATTTGTATTTATTCAGTTTATTTGGTGTTTGTCTAGTTTTCAAGTATTTTTCTTAAATTAATGCTCTTTCTTGTTTTTTACGTTCTTCTATTCTTTCATGAGTTTTTAGATGCAATATAATTTTTACACAAAATGCTAAATTCAAATGCCTTATATAGATCAAGAAAGGAATATCAAGTGAAAGATTAACATAATAGAGCTATTAATGGATTATAACAAAGAGTGGATTAGTCTGTTCGTCCACTTATAAGATACCTTTTAATTTTTAGACCTAGCTAGATTCTAGATTTTTAATTTCTATATAAGACTTTTATTGTTAGTTTTTTGTCATTTTTATAGTAGCATGTAAACCCTTTTGATTCTCTCGTATGGAGAATGTTAAAAGCTTTTGTTTTTTTTGTTAGCTTCTATCAAAATCTTTCTCAATTTCAATTTAATGAAATTTATATGTTCTTTTTTATAACATGGATGGTATCCTAATATTAGATAAATGAAACATGAAAAAAAGTCAAGAGGTGACAATCCAACTTATCCGAATATGCTCGGGAGGGCAAGAAAGCCTAAACGCTTCGTAAAGATGAGTAAGGAGTGAACCCTACAATACACAAAGAATTTTATTGGATATGAAAGTTAAACATATCAAATCTATCATCCGAAATTGATGCTTTACATGTAGAAGGCATATCATTTATTAAAAATAGTGTCTTATACGAAGTATGTTGAAAGGCCTAGTCTACAAGCCTATCCGTATATTTTTTACCCGCTCGAAAGCAATGAAATTTGTATGTTAAATAAATAAATAATGTATCTCATAAATCACTAAATTAGCCACTATGTATAGTGTCGATTTTAATCAACTAGTTTTGAAATTGTGTTATTCAACTCATAGACATATTTCGAATCTTTCATTACTAATGGTAAAAAGTTATTCTTCTAATGTAGCATAAGCATCACACATATTGTCTATAGCTATTACCAATGCTATATACTTAGCGCCAATGATTCAAGCAAAGGCATATTGAGGTTCGGATAGTTTTCCATTTATCAAAAAATTTGCCTTAGCGATTCCGTCTCTTGAACAAGGTAGCTCTTCAACAAATTTCAAGTCTTTCCTCCACTCGAATTATACATTACATGAATGACAAATTTAGTTTCCATGATAATTGCATTTTTGTAAAGTAGGAGAAAAATATCATAGATCTTTCATTTCCATGGCCTAATCACCGTAAAAGGAAGATGTAAATTTCTCTTGCACTTTAATGAAAATTTACCTAAAGAGAGTTGCTAGCTCTTCTAAGTGTAGTAGCATTACTCTATTGAGATCCAATTTTTCCATCTTTAGAGTTTCATTATGAAACTCCTCTTTAGGGATGGCAATTTGCCCCGCCCCAACATAGTCCCGCTCCACCTCGCGTCAATTTTCCTCGATCAACACAATGATTCCCCGCATTGATTGAGGAATGGGGTGGGGCATGGCGTCCCGCGAGCTCTGGATGAGGTGGGGATGGGATTTCCCCGCCTCGCCTCGTTTGCCTTGTTTGCCCCATTCCGTTTTTTTAATAAAATTATAATTATACCCAATATAAAATCTATAATTAGTGACTTTTAGGGTTTATTTCTATATAAATTATCTTTTTTTTTTTTGCTATAATTTAAAATTTGTTAGTAGAATTAAATAAAGTGAGATAAAAAAAATTTCTCTCGTTTACGCCCGTTTGCTCCGCGGGATCCCCGTCCCCATTTAGGGCGGGGATGGTATGGAAAATTTTACCCCGTTCGGGGCACGAGGCGAGGACGGGGAAAATTTTTCATAGGTGGGGCGGGGACGGGGATAGCGATCCCTCGTCCCCGCCTCGCCCCATTGCCATCCCTACTCCTCTTCTTCATAGAAAGAGATGTGTTTCCTAACCTTAATTCTTGGACCTTTGAAAAAGGTCGAAGCAAGGCATTCTTGATGTGTTATGCAAGACAAGGGCTTGATTTTGTTGACAAGTACGATAGGTTCATCCGAGTGAAGGCTAAGGCTTCATCTAAAAGACATTCTCCATGCATGCTATAAAAGGAAGATTAATATATGTTCGAAATGCCTATAACATCGTTGATAACGGTTTTCTTGAACTCACCATTGTCATCCTTGAATTTATTCAATATATCCGATAAACAATAATCAATAGCATTAAATACCCAATGGCATCTTCGAATATCGAAGACAAATGGGTTTGTATTCATGACTAAGGTTATGTTTGTTTGGAGAAAAACAAGTCCCAAAAACTCGTTTTCGTATTTTTCAGTATTTATTTCCTATTCATGAAAAAAGTCAATGAAAAATGATACAATATTTTTGAAAAAATATTTTTCCACTTTAAAAAGTGAAAAACATTTTTCCTCTCGTAAGTCGTTTCGCTCTCGCATTGCTTACCTCTCTCTTTCGATATATTTTAACAATTTTTTCTCTATCTTCTTTTTATTTAAAATATATAAGTTTAATTTTTAATTATTCCTTATCAATTACTATGAATTATTTAATTATTTGTTTCTCTATTTTTACTAATATTTGATTTTTTGATTTGTAGATACATTAAATATTCTTAAAAACCATCTTTACACCTTAAAATTATTTTTATAATAAATATTTCAATAATTTATCTCTATTGTTTTAACTATTATTTCAAATATCACCTAAACTATACTTAAATGATTGAAAATGATTATTACGAGACTATAATTGTTTTGTGAAAAATATTGAAATTAATTAATTCATCAATAAATACATTATTTTGCCACCACTATTCATTTGTAATTAAATCAATAATTTGTAATTTTAATCAATTGTACAATTTTATTAGTAATTGTAGTGAATAATTTGTTACAAATTATTCGAAAATTAATCTTTTGAGACCAAATAAATAATTATCTATAAATAATAACTAATAATTTACAAAACTATTTTTCGGACTAAATTACCAGTTCAATTTCTAAATAAAAAAAAATCTTAATTGAGTTAAAAAATAACAATATTATGGTTACTTAGAATTTTATTTTATTTTTTTATTTTTTTATTTTTTTTAAGGAACAAGGATGGTACCCTTGAAATTTATAAATGAAAAGTGAAAATTTTACAAGAGGGCAAACCAAACTTGACCTAATAAATTAGGAGGACTAGGTAGCTTAAACTCCCGAGAATATTGAATTGGTAAAATTATCCAACAAAAATAAATTGAAACTTCTACCAATATACTACCCAATAAATTAGATATCTCTTAAATCTCACTAATCCATAATAGTCTTCCTTAAGGGACACTCGAACCGAATCGGGGAGGGTATCCAATAAGTGGTATATAACTTGGCTTTTGTGATCATAAGCGTAATTTACTAGTCTATCAGCAATGCAATTTCCTTCCCTATAGGTGTGCATAATTGCAATATCCCTTAAATTTGTTTGCATTTATGCAACGTATATAATAACGACAATGGCACTACAGACTCGCCCATTAATAGCATCCACTACAAGTTTAGAGTCTAATTCTACAAATTGAATGGATATATTATTTTACCTAGACAATTCAAGCTCTTCCAAATAGCACCCATCTCTCCTTTATTGTTTATACCCATGCCATAAAATGATGAGAAAGTAAGTATTAGTTTTCCATTCCCATCTCTCACAACTCTTCCTTTTATGCACCTACCATCCTTAGCAAAACAATCACAATTCAATTTAAGAGTGTGCATAAGTAAAGGGGACCATGTAATCCACTTGCATCTTTTCACCTTTGCTAGAATGATGGGGACCTAGAGAGCTTCAATGTATAAAGCATCATGCAAACCAAGCTTTTTACTCGGCATAAAAATTGTTTGACTTTCAGTAACCCATTTCTTCACCTTGAATATTATAACTACAGCAGACGTCTCCACTCCTTCAAAGAAAGCTTTATTACGTGCTTTCCAAATTTCCCACATCGTGCAATGAAGTATCATCATTTTACGGATGGTTTTTTTATTGGGTGGATTGCTATTTTGAAGCTAGTTTCCAACAAGAGAGGCCACCGAACCGAATACCACTAAAACATTAAGAAGCCGACTAAAATGTCTCCAAATTGTAGCAACAGATTCCTCATGAAGAAATAGATGTTCCATAGACTCTACTACTAGTTGTTTATAGCATTGGCAATGAGACGAAGTGGGGATTCCACAACATTGAGCATTAATAACCACATCAATATCGTTATTGATGATTTTCCATATACGATAGCTATTTTCTATGGAATCCAACAATTCCGAAGTGCTTCCACCATTTATCTATAATGCAAGGAGTTCTTAGTTCGTTGTCGATATATAGAGGTTTTAAAAGTACCCGATGTTGTTAGAATGAAGATAAGCTTGTTCGATTGATCATGGGATATAATTATAGTGCTTAGAGTCTCCTGGATGGGAAGAGGAAAGGAATCTATGTTACTATGTAAGACTTCTTTAACTCGGAATCTCTACAAAAGGAATCACAGGATCCCGACTCCATACTCCCAACCGGATGGAACCTTCTCGTATCAACCATTTCGACTTCTCTTTTAGTTTTGATATTTTTTAGGAAGCCATGCCTCTAGTCCCGTTAATGTTCAAACTATTCTATGTAATATATTTGGAAGCCATGAATCTTGCCCATAATGAAGAACCATGTAAAAAAGTCTAAGCTAGTTTCTCTTTCATATAGAACATTACCTCATGCAAATTCCTTATTCTAAGCCCCCTTCTCGCTTGTGGTTTTGATATTTTTTTCCCAACTAACCTAATGATGTCGACTTCCTTCCCCGTGATTCTAAAAGAAGGTAGTAATGCAACTTTGAATGTTCATCAACGTCCTTTTTGGGATGGGCATGACGACTAGGGTGTATACCTGGGGGAGGATAGTACCGCTTATACCAACATTAGCTTACCTCCAAGTGGATAGGAGCTTACCCTTCCATCTTGCAAGTTTGCTTTGTATTTTATCTTCTAATGACTAAAAATAAGATTGCTTTGCACATCCCTTGAAAGGGGGATACCCAAATATCGAGTGGGAGCTTTCAACTAAAATATGTCCATTTTCGTAGAAGTCTAATCCTATTCGAAGGAAGTTTATTACTGTAGAGGAAACCAATTTTGATCGTGTGAATCTTTTGTCCATTACACTCATGATATTTTCTTAGTGTGCACATTAACTTCTCCACTAACTATTTTGAACCATTGTCGAAAGCAAGCATATCATCCGTAAAGAACAAATGGTTAATGGTTATTAAAGTCCGGCCTACACGATAAGGTAAAAAAGTTTTTTACTAAATGTGAATATTGATGTGATTTTGTCCTAAGTAATTTTGATGAATTAGTTTGACGGTTAAAAAAGTATATTTTATTTTTTTGAATTAAAATTTTTAAGTTAGTATTTATGAAAATTTATTAAATTTTTCTAAATGTATCTTATATTGTGAAATTATGAATATGTCTTTTTGAATTTTTTTCAAAACTTATTGATATAACAATCACATATGTTTTTGTATTTTAATTTTCTATATTAAAAAATGTTGAAATATATTTTTCAGTAGTTTTTTCATATAATTGCCAAATGATATAAAATATGTTTTCGAAAAATAATTTTTTAGAAAATGGCTTCCTAATGAATTGATTTTTATATGAAACTTGTTTTTCTTTTAAAAAAACACTCGCCTAATTAAAAAGAAAGAAAGAAAAAACATATCAATAATTTTTATTTTTTTCCCTAAAATTTAGGCCTTTAGGACAAAGTGTGTTATATCCGTAATACTTTAAAACTCAAAATAGAAGTGACATGGTATAAAGGTCATGGTCAAGGAGATTAGGTAGAGTTTCGAAAACATAACTAGCTTGTTCTTCAATTTCGGTCTCGAAATGATATGACAAACCAAGACGGCATAATAAGTTTATAAACTCAATGTTCTCGACTGGATCCTTTTTAAAAGTCATTAACATATCCATCACATTTTCTTTCGTGTCTTCAACCTATCTCTCATGTGATTCAAATTTCGGCATGCATTATAAGAGATCACCACCAAAAATGGTGTTACATAGATTTATAGAGCCTCGTGAAATTGTTAAGAAATTTTTATCCATATACATTTAAATGATATATAGAGCAAATTAACTAAAATGTATCCGATAAGTAGTTAGTCACTGTTTCCTAAAAGTAAATGAAGCAAAGGTATAACCCCATATAGATGGAGGAAAATCTATTGATGGACGGTTGGTTGGGTTATTGCTTGTTGGGAAATGTGCTTGCATTGCCATCTTCGGACAAAGCAAGATACCCATTTAAGGGTTATTATTATCATTCTCTCTTGCTTTTGATAGAACTAGAGATATTACCACTTATGTTTATGGACACTAATCTAGCTAGACGGTATTTATAGAAAAAATGACAAGCATACCACCGACGGAAAGATTTTTTTTCCTCATGATATTTTGATCTAAAAACCTAAACTAATCTTTCAATATTCGATCGAGCACATAAAAATCGCATAATTAGGCAAAGAGCTTTCTACTCGTATAAGAACTAAAAATTAAGATCAATTACTTTAGTGATTAGAACTCTTTCTACTTAAGTCAACCCTCTTGAAGCAAGTTTAATGAAATGACACTACATCAAATGAAGGCTACAGAGGTAGAATCTTTGGAATAGTCAATAAAACCATCTCGGAGTTTAATAATTTCATTTTAAATATAGTATTTAATAAAGCTATTGAGGCTATTAAGACTTACCACTATAGCGAGGATCAACCAACACATCTTCTCTAGAAACAACAACAATCATGGCAAGCAATTGTAGCAATGACCATGGTAACTCTTCTCCTCTAATTACAAAGGTGGAGCATGACTTTCTCTTTATAATAGAAACTACAATTACGGAAGCTCCAAACATTGCCCATAACATTCATTTGTTTCTAATAATAACTAGATTCGGATTACGACATTAGTTGTCAATAATCTCCGTAAGATAGAATTGTAAGTCTTCAAAGATTTCTATCCTCCGCACACTTGTAATCACATAAAAGGGAGAGTCACAAATTGAATAAGATTTAGTGAGACATTATTCATTCATCTATTTTTGGTTTGACTTGGTATTAGAGCCTCAAAGGCAACATTGTCGTTGTCTCCTTCTTTTTTAGATCTATGGCTAATCCTCTATAAATAAATCTTGATGGCCTCTTTTTCTAATACACATTCTTCCATTTCTACACTACTACAAATCTTAACCAATCCACACCTAATCACTCATCTAACTAATGCTCACCACTTTATCTATCTAAAACTTACCAACAAAAATTTTCTAATTTGGCATGTTCAAATGAAACCATTCTTACTTGGTTAAAGCCTTTTGATGATCTACTCCTTGCCCCTAAGCTAAAATATTTTAGCTAAAACTACTATACCTCAAACAAATCCATCTTATCTTGGATTCAACAAGATCAATCACTAATGAACACATTTATTTCATCTCTTTCTATTGAGTTTCTTCCAACAATCATTAATTATGTTACTTCCAAAGATATGTGGTTTGTTCTTAGATGTGCTCTTGCTTCCCTTTCTAGCATAAGCCTCATAACCTTATACCTTGCTTTGTGAAAAATGCGCTAAGACCCTACCGAACTTCTATCTCAATATCTATAGTATGCAAAATCATATAGTGATGAACTCGGTATTATTGGTCATCTTTTTCAAGATATTGATTTCAACTTATATATATTTAAAGGCTTATCAAGTGACTTTAAATATCTTCTAACTACTTATCCACCCACTTAAAACTAGTAAACTTTACTAATCTTCACGAGTCTTCTTCCGAGCCATGAGTTTCTAACACATGAATTTGCTTTTGATTCATCTCTTTTTAAATCAAACATGGCCTTATTGCTCACTCCTCCATCTTTCTATTTCATTCACGAAGCTAACATATTCCCTAATGATCGTTTTAGCAAGTACTAATAACGGAAGGAGTCGATTTTTTCATAGCCGAGGGCATAGTGAAAATTCTCATAGGTGTGTGCCTTGTTTTAATTCCGATAATTAGGGCATTTAGTTCTAAAATGAGCATAAAAATAAAAGTTAGATTTGTTCTTATTGAACCCCTATGGCATTACACTACCCATAATAAACAATTCAATCTTTTCATCCTTCTATAAATATTTCGGCTTCCATTGTTGCTTATCTACATTCATGACGCCCTAATACTAGTGGTTCACATTATATAAACCTTGATTTGGCAACTCGTCGGTACTTATGAGACGTATTTAAGTTTTGAACAACTATAAATTGGCAATCATAAGTATTTACCTCTTTAATCCATTAGCTTAAATCATATTCATACTCATTCTAGAACCCTCAAATTACTTGATGTTCTTCATATACCATAAATAACTAGACCTTTACTATCTATCTAGTGATTAGCATGTGACAATGATTTATATTTGGAGTTTTAGCATTCTTCTTTTTATGTATATGACGAAGTAAATAAGATTCCTCATCTTTCCTACTTGAGTGATGCTAACCTCTATGTTTTCCATATTCCTCCACTCCTTCCAATACTCAAGCATATTTTATCCGTGCTTCTTAATAACTCTAGTATGCTAGAGTGGGTCATCCACATGATTGTTTCCTTTTTTTATTTGGAAAAAAAATCATAATTTTTCATCATCTATAAAATTGTCTAGTCCTTGCTTGTCTTATCCATTAAGGAAAGCAAGTTTATCTTCTTTTTCTCTTTTAAGTCCCGAGTTTTTTTTTAAATTAGTTTTTATTGATGTATGGAAATCTTTACATATTACCTTTATTGATGGTCATAATTATTACTAAATATTTGTTGATCATTTTTCAAATTTAATTTTTTATTTTTTATTATGTAAAAAGGTTTATGCCTTTGTGACCTTTCTTCAATTTCAAAAATTAGTTGAACGTTATTTTAATTATCAAATTAAATAAGGTCAAGCTAATCGGGGTGGGAAATTTCATAGTCTCAACAAATTTTTGAAGTCCATTGGTATAGGATCTCATATTATATGTCCACATACACATAAACAAAATGGGTTTGTTGAAAGATGTCATCATGACACTATTGAAATAGGTCTTAAATTATTAAGTAATGCTTTGTTTTATGGTGCTTTGTCTAAACCCTTGGCATCATTAGCTACATATAATAGCCTAATTTCAAAAATGCCCATATGTTTTTAAGAAGCATGAAAGTAGTGTAGAGTGGTGTTCTACAATGTCTAGGGGATTCGAGTGCTCTACTTAAAACTCAAACTTGGAACTTAGTGTCTCCCATGTCTTCTATAAATGTTATAGGTAACAAATGGGTTTTTAGAATAAAGTAATTGTTTGATGAAAGCATCAATAGATACAATGTTAACTTAGTAACCAAATGCTTGTGATACCATTAATAAGAGGGCATTAATTATGATGAAACATTTAGTCTTTCTATTAATTCTTGTCATTTACATTTATTCATTGATTAGAAATAGATAGAAGTCCATATGATATGCATTTACATTAATG